GCTGGGGTGGCGGGTCCTGGGAGGGGGTGGTCGGGGACGAGGAGCAGAGGGCGGTTGGATAGGGGGTGGGAGTCCCAGGGGAGCTGTCAGGGGGCGGGGGTGTGGATAGGGGTCGGGGCAGTCAAGACAGGGAGCAGGGGGGTTGGATGGGTTGGGGGTTCTGAGGGGGGCAGTCAGGGGGCGGGAAGTGGGAGGGGGTGGATGGGGAGGGGGGCAGGCTGTTTGGGGGACGCACAGCCTTACCTACCCGGCCCTCCATACAGTTGCACAACCCCGATGTGGCCCTCAGGCCAAAAAGTTTGCCCGCCCCTGATTTAAATGCTACTTAAGTAACACACAGAGCTTATGTGAGCCGTCCACACAGAAGTGAATTTCACCTACAGTGAGGAAAAGAGAGAGGAGAAACCAGAAATTAGTTGGCATCTCACCCCAGTTCAGACTGCTCAGGATGAACATACATGTCCAGCTAATGCTATGCTAAAGATGTATGCACTGCTATGCAGGCACGGTGGGGTGAATGAAGGATGGAGCAGCAGTCCTATTTTACCTGTACTTTGCATTTCCTTCTCTTTTGTGGGAGTAATAGCTTTACTCTTAAATACAACAGGACCCTGAAACTTAGTTGCCTGAGTCCTATTGAGTTTTGAAGCTGCAAAGTTTCTCTCTACATACCACTTATAGGACCTATACTTGAACTTGTTTGATATATAGAGATTTTGTAAATATGTTGTTGTGTTTATTATTGTGGTTATACATTTCTATTGGGTTTTAATTTGATCTACCAAGGAATAAATATTTCTTTGTATTTAAATATATGCTACAAGGTATTAAGACTACATTATTGAAGAAATTAAATAACAATATATTTAAAATGCTCAGAGCTTAATGGTTTAAGTCATTTTGGTGGTGTTTTAATTTTAATAAAACACAAAATAATGTGTGACAAGCTACTCATGCAGTATTTCCAACATGGAGGAAACTGGGAGGTAAAACAAAACAAAACAAAACAAAACAAACACTACAAACAACAACGCTCTTTTCTTATAAGATCATCAGCCTAATGTTCAGACAGGTTTGGCTAAATTCAGATATTTAGATGCTTATCCAAATTGAACCATCATTTTTTTTCCGATTCACCCAACACTAGTAACTCTGGGTCCAGAGTAGCCCCTTTGAAGTCAATCAGATAGGATCACAGGATTAGAAGAAAAGTTGCTAAAGCTAAAAAGCAAGAGTGTTCTACTGACGTTGAGTAGACTCAACAAGAATCCACTAACCTCTTATTCAATCTCTCTCATTCCGAAGACTGGTTTACATATCTGAAAAGTACAGTGATCGAAGGCGAGATTTTTTGGTTGACAAAGCATAACTCGTATTCCTTCTTTTTAGTGCTTCCTTGACATAGAAGATTTTTTTTAAATGTTTTTAATTTTGTGAAATGTCTCTCTTCATCATCTGGGTACATTTCATGACACACTGGGCAGAAGGTTTCCCAGTCTATGCTTTTCTCCACTTGTGAACATGATGAAAGATCACTCATAGGTTTTCAATGAAGTCACTGACAATCATTAATGCTGGAGGCAACAGCTGTTGAGAACTGATTTACCCCCTGGCTATTTAATCTCTTGGCCTCTCACAAGAATGATTGCTAGAGGAAGGTAAAGAAGCACAACTAAAATTGTATAGCTTTCAGCAGCTGTTGTTATTACTGAAAGCCAAGAATGGGTCAAAAAATGTGATGAAAGTCCTGGATTGTTATCAGCATTAGGGGTGGCCGAAGCTTACGGCTTCTCTTGGGAATAGAATTTCCTTTGTGGAATGGAAACACCGTAAAGTTACTAACTCCGCGAGGGCTTAGTTGCCTGGGAGTTACAGTGAAGTGTATGTGTGTGTTGGAATTTCCACGCATTAGAAGTGTATTAAGTCAGTGTACAAAGTGATATAGGTTGTGAAAGGCGGCCCTTGTGTTTGGTAACGGGAGCCAGGACAATTGGATGGCAAGAAAAGATAACGTAAAACATTCATTAAAATAGTGAAAAAATGAGGGCCAAAGTACAGTGCAGCTGCTGTACATGTCAGTTAGGATTTCAGAGAACTCCCTGCTCTCCCTGTGAAGCTCTGATTATATTATACAGAGCAACCACACATGAGCCCCCATTCCCTCCAAGGCATTTGATTAGCTAGCCTAAGTTCCCAGCAGATAAACAGTTCCCAGAAGACACTTTTATACCTACACATTTTTCACAATATGACAGCAGAGACTTGGAGAATGAAGTATTAACATGAACTGCGCCTTCCATGGGAAAAAATAGCGTATCAAATTTGTGGTCACCTAGGATTTTGTATTGAGAATATGCTACGTACCATGGCCACGCAGAATGTCTTGGTGTCAATGGGAACAGAATTTGCATCCCTCTCCTTCAAAAGTGCAGGCCACTAGAGCTAAAGGACAGTCTGGCCGTTTACAGTAGAGGGCCTATGATATATCATTCAGCAGTTCCGAGTCAATCCACTAGAGGGCAGTGAATCACAGACACATGCCAGTTAATGAAAATTATTTTAACTAAAAATATGCTATTAGAGATGGGCCTGAAAATTGGAGGTCTTCTGGAGATGGCTGTGTTCAGAGGTCTACAGGCAAGTTGGGAATTTTGGTGCCAACACGGCATCTAAAAAAAAATGAATCAAGAAAGGCAGGGACAAAAATGAAATTATTCTAAAACTGAAAGGGGTTTTTAAATGTTCCTCACTTACTGACAAATTTACAAATGCAAATGAAGGAACATACTAGTGTTAAAGACCCATTGTGCTCTACAAGAAATTTCATGCTCCGCCTGCACTTGTGTTCACAGAAAGAAAAGTTAATAGTACAATGCACTTACGCACACTCTTGTAGTGCAAACCAGCACGGTAACAACTCCCCCCACAATGTATTGTGATGATTGTTGTGATGAGTGGTTTGGTTCAGAGGCACATACAATTTTGGATGCTTAAATGCAGATGGATAGCTCATGAGAAAAATCTCCTCCCCCCACCCCTCCAAAAATTAATTCCTCTCTCAAGCAAGTGCCAGAATTACAAGAGCAGGCTTTCTCATGACATTTCAACACATCTGCTTCTAGGGCAAACTGGAAATGGGAAAAGCAGAGAGATATAGAAATGAAGGAAAAGCAGTTAGGATCCTGATTCAAATTCCAGGGAAGGCCAAGGACAGTTTTTCCACCGACTCCACTGCACATTGGATCAGGCTGTCATGGCACTGCAACCGTTAGTATCCTTGGTAACGTCCTAGTGGTATCAGCATCAGCATCTGTTTCCAACGCCAAGGTTGGGTCAGGCTGCCTTCTGTCAGTGTCTTGGCTTTGGTACCTAGACGGCCGGCCATGCAAGTCTACACTAATGAATTGACATACATTAATTAAATTAATTAATGAATTAATTAAAGAGAATGTGCAGGTTCGGTGGCAAAAGAATTTTCTTCCAGAGAAAGAAGAAAGAACTTTGATCTAGTCAAGTGAGAATTTGGTTTTATTGTTTCATTCTCCAAAAACCTTCAACCCTTCCCCAAACAGCTGGGAATAAATGCAGTGGAACTGAATATAAACCAAATGGCCCTCCTGCAGAGACAGAATGATGAAAATAATAATTGGCATTTATTTAAGCACCTTTCAGCCCAAAGGCCCTTCAAGACATAGGTGTATGGATCACTTAACCTTCTGTTGAAATGCAACCACCTTTGGTGCATAGCCATTCTTTGCCATCTACAAGAATCTTGGGATGCAGGAACATCTGCTTAGAGACAAGCATGTCCTCTCCATATGGCGGCTCTGACAGCTGGCCCCCTAAATTCCTTGGTAGGGGGAGGAAGGGGATGCAGCCAGTTGAGGTACGTTCCTGCTGGTTTAAGCAGTAGTATGTTCCCTTTGGCAAACCACTCACAACTGAGGGGGTATATACTGTGTCCAGCAACTTCCCTCCAGCTCCAACTTCCCAGAATTGCAGAATCCTGATTCCACAAAAAGGCCTCCATGAGATCTGCAGTACAAGGAGAAGGTAGCAGAGCGGCCTGTATCCTGGTACATTTTACCACTTTCTGCTGTAAGTGCTGGAACTAGGGGGGCTGCCGCACCCCCTCCTGGCTTGACGTGGTTTCCATTATATACCATGTTGACACTTTGGTTTAATGGCTCTCAGCACCTGCACTATAGAAATTGTTCCAGCCCGCCTGGCTGTACACAGGGAAGAGTTACATGTGGCCCACGAGTGCAGCTAGTTCCCTTAACATCCTGTCAGAACCAAGAAAGTCATCTTGCTTTATTCTGCCACCAGGAGCAGTTTCTGCCTCCGGTGGCGCTGGAACCCTGGCGCTGGAATAGTGGGGGTGCTGAAAGCCAGCCCCCTTACCCCTGTCCGTGCCCTCCCCAGCTGGTGCTGAGATCAGTGGTGTGGCTTGGGGAGGGGAGTCCCAGCCAGGGGTAAGGGGGCAAAGGCTGGGGGTGGGCATGGGGTCAGGAGCAGAGCTCCGGGAACAGGGTCAGCGGCCGGGAGCGGGGGGCCTGGTGCGGGGTCCTGGGAATGGGGCCAGAGAGCGGGGCCAGTGCCCCAAAAGTAGAGCCCCAGGAGCAGGACTGAGCGTGGGGCCCAGAGTGCGGGGCTTTAGGCGCAGGGTCTGCGGCTGGGGAACGGGGCGCAGGGCTAGTGGGTGGGACCCCAGCCCAGACGCAGGGCCGGTGAGCGGAGTCCCAGGCACAGGGCCCTGGGTGTGGGGCCGGGAGCAGGACCCTGGTGCGGAGCCCCAGTCACAGGGCCAGTGGCTGGGACCCAAGCCCCAGGCTAGGGAGTGGAGGCCTAGGCGTGGGGCCAGTGGCCCCATGTAAAACCTGGGGGTGCTGCAGCACCCCCTGCACTCCCTAGCTCCCGCGCCTATGTCTGCCTCTTACTGGAGAATGATTAAAACCAAAAGTTGCTATTTCTCTTTTATTCTTTCACGGAGGCTTCTGTACTCTCCTTGAATATCTACTCTGAGCTTACTCCAGGGAGTGAAATATTCAGTGATAAATGTGGGTTTACTATTACTGTAACAACTGCTAGTAGAGCAGCAGCAAGGAAACTTATGGCCCATCGATAGTATGAAACTGACCCCATTTAAGCTCTATTGGTCCACATGGCTGGGAACTGATCATGTGTTTGTAATATTTGATCCTGTTTTCTATAATACACTAGTCTCCATCAAGCCTAAAGCATGTTTTTTTTAATAACTGTGGAAATAATATGGTTTAGTTCCATCCGGAGGCAGGACCTACCCATGGGGTAACACAGCAATGTTAAAAATCCATGTTGTAACACAGTCACTTTCCTAGTTTAGGCAGAAAGCTTGAGGGAAGGAAACAATTGCACCTGCATGTCCAAAATTGATAGAGGAAGAATGCCAAAGGGTCAGTACATGCCACCCATGAAAAATGAGCCGCAACTTGCAAAGTAGGTGCTTATTAGGCAGCAACAAATTCCTTCCTCTCATTAGAGACAAGTTCATCTGCTGCAGCGTCATTTTCTGGAATCTGGCTTTGAGCTCTAAGGTTATTTTCATAATGGAAGAAAAACATCTCAACGACCTGAAGCAATAGACTTCTAAGCTGCTTTCCATGGCCCCACCAGCCAATGGTACAATAACAAGAAGCAACTCGTTCAGTGACGTTGCAACATGACGACCTTTCTTGTGGTGCATCAAGAGGTCAGTTACAGGGTGTGTGTATAGGGAAAGTACATGGATAAGAGGAAAAGAAACCATCACGCTTATTGACTACCAGGCTAGACAGTGATATTGATACAAAACAGTGTATTCCCTAATGTTGGGAGAAAAGAAAACAGCTCTCACAGTCCTTTCCCCTTTGATACATTTGTATTGGACTTTGGTGGGAAGTGAGGAACTGAGATGCTGTCCCATAGCATCACAGCACTGCCACTGGGAGCTATTCAATCTGTATGAGACCATGCCAGGAATGGAACCAGTTCAAATCCCAGGGAGAGACTTGGCTTCTGAGTGGAGCTGAGTCAGACGAGACACGATAAAGGTATACAAAATGCTGAATGATGGGGAGAAGGTACAACCGGGCATTCCAGTCACTCGCTCTCATAATACAAAACAAGGGGACTCAACTCTAAAAGCAAAAGTTTACAACTGACTTAAGGAAACAGTCTTTTATCCAACACCCAGTTATACTGTGCAATTCAATTCTTGGGCTCAGTGATCCCTTTCCTCTCTGAGAAGGATTAGATGTAGATATGAATAATATCCAGAGTTACAGGAGTGAGGATAAAACTGATTTAGGGATATTAACCCTTAGCTTTCAGGACGTAAACCAACCACTAACTCAGTCGATTTAGGCAGGACCTTCTGCCATTTGCACTTTATTGCATAATCATCCATTATGAAGGTTTTACACCAGCTAAAGCTCAGTAGCTCAGTAGCACTCACAGTTGTATGCACATTATGCTTCCCCCGTGGACTGGAGGGGGGAGACAAAAGGAGTATTTTGCTCTGGGCCACTC